ATAAAGCTCATATTGATGATTTAATAAGCCTGCATGTGGCACTATTTTGAAACAAAACAATGAGGGCTACTAGGGCTGGGCGATATGGAAAAAAAGGTTATCGATAAAAAAAAATGCATATTGATCGATATCGATAATTATTGAAAAGATTTGAAACCATATTTTATGTGCAGCTCTGCCTGGACTTTTTATAATATTGCTAAATGATTTAATTTTAATAAAAAACACAAACAGACTTCGAATTATATCTTTATTTAACCAACTTTTTTAACCATAACAGAATTGTTTTAAAGAAAAATAACTTAAGAGACCTGAGTTATGTTATTAAATACTGACAAAGAATAAACTAAAGTGACCAAAATAAATATAACAAATAAATAAATGTCCCCCCACCGCCGCCCCCGTTTCCTGCTTTAACCTGAGTTATTACTTTGAAGTTTCTGGCCCCTTAGCCATTTTATCTCAATTGTTAGAACTACGTGGGAAACTGCCCAGAACTGAAAATATATATATACTTTCCGAAGATTCCTCGGAGGAGAGCTGCGCCGGGGCCTACACAGCTCGTACTCCTGCGGGTGTGAACGGCTGAGATGATAAAAAAAAAAAAAATAGTTGGTTGCGTTATCAGACTTGGTTTTCACTGGTTCCCGACACATTTTCCAGATGACTGTTTTTTGTCCGACTTGACCGAAATACTGCCAGACTGTCGAACTACAAAAACCCTTCTTTGGAACAATTTCCTCCGCCTCTCCTTGCTGCGACATCTTCATGTGCTCTGTGTTGTGGTTTGAGAGGGCGGCGCTTTGTGACGGCGTGCCTGAGTCCGTGATTGTGATTGGTTGGGAGGAAGTAGTGACTAGCATAAACCTATATGCTAGGCTACAATGAGAAGGAAGGAAAACTGCGTTTCTTTTTTATCGAACTTTTATCGACTCACTTTTTTTCTATTGCGCCACACGTCTATCGATCGATATATATCGTTATTGAATTATCACCCAGCCCTAGGCTGTACACTTCCTTTCAAGTAATCACTTCTAACAAAAAATACAGTATCATCACAATTATATCCCTCCTTATTGCCAATCAGTCTGTCTATTAAATTGATATTTAAGATTGAATCTTTAACAATTTTCCCAATGACACAATCAGACTGAGGCCAGCGGATCAATTTATTCCCTTGGGAACTAAACGTTTCCAACTAAAAGACAGGCTGACAAAGGAAGTAAAATAAATACAAATCATTGAAATTTTATAATGTGAGCACATTTATTGAATTTCTGATACAATGTTCTACATCACAACATTTACAGTTTACATCAGTGTCCCACGGAAAATAAAACAGCCAGACAACACAAAATAATACAACACAACACCATCTACTGATCTCATTATTAAACCAGAATAGACCAACAGATCTTAAAACACGATCAACAATTTGAACAAATGTTTTAAGTTTGGTTTTGGTTGTATGAATGAAAGAATCATTTCAGTGCTTGGAAAAGAAGCACCAATATTGGACCGTATATCTTGTCATTCAGAGCTTCCTTCTGGGTAGGCTGAGTTGATATTGCCCTGATATACAGTTAGAATGGAAGTACCGATTCCTGGTATCATTGTTTTATTTAGGAAAAACACTTATAAAAATCGATAAAAGTTATCAAAAGAAAACATTTATAAAAAATATTCTATTAACCGTTTGGATTTACAGACAAGGAAAACCTGTAAAAAATTGAACTCAGACAATGGCCATAGACATTCAGAGGAACTGTGACTATGCAGTGTCAATACTAAGTCTCAGTTTGCTTACTATCTGATATAAACATCTATATGTATGTGTGGATTAAACTAAGCAAGCTGCTGTTGGGTTTCATAGGAATAATGAATAGAGTTAACTCTATTTTAAGACTTATTTACATGCAACTTAAAAGTAAACTTTAAAAAAAGCTACAAACTGATATCCCAATGTCCAATCTTTGAAATAATTATATCTAATACCTCTATTTAGCAATAAGATAAATAACTTAAAAATAACTAAATGTTTCTTAAATTTCTAGGTACTACTTCATAGTAAAACTTCACCTATAAATGATTAGTAGTAAATAAAGCAGCTATAAACAAGTTTGATATAATTTATAAACCTTATTAAAACTGCCAAGATAAATTATTTAATGGGCAAGATAGGAGGCAAAAACGACCTGTTTCTTGCCAAACAGTGAATCTACAATAAACTATGAAAATACTGGCATCTTGACTGCTTTTAAAGTCTCAATAACAGGTTTAACTACAAAGGGGTATTTTGTAATGACAGTTTTATTGTAAATTGTACCCATTTTGTACTGATTATAACTTACCAGATTAGCAGTTTTTCTTTTTATTAAGCACTTATCTCGGATTTTAGTCATGGAAAAAAAAAATCCCTTTTCTCCCTCTGTTCTTATCTTAATTAATTCTTCAGGTCATATAATTTTAGAACAAGAAATTTAAGAAAGAAATGGTGATTGAACCTTTTCCCCCCAACATGACTGTATATCTTAACACAATGCTTGATGCCGATTTCACAAGGTGTTGCTGCTTGTTCTTCCATGACATCTTTTATTTAATTTGGCTTGTTGAATTTTACCTGTATTTGTAAACACTTGGCAGTATGACAATGATGTAATAAAGCTGTGTAGCTCCCATGCATCACAGTAAATTTTAGCATCATTTTCATTAGAAGTAGATTGTATGACATCTGCTTGTTTTGCACCATTTATTCCCAAAGTTTGTAGAATGAATTTGCATAGATAATTTATTTGCAATTAGTCTGTACCATTTTTCCATTTTGTTCAACGACTAAAACAGCACTGAGTTACCAGGATATATTGTTAATGAGATTTTGTAGATCCCCTCACAAGAACCTGACATAAAATCAACAGTAATGTATAATCTCTACAAAAAATGTGCCAAATAATACTTTATGTAAATTACAGAACTACTAATGGCACATTTTATTGGGAGCTCTATTGTCTCCTGGTGTTGTAAAGAGATTTTGATATCAAATTGCACATTAAATTTAATTCAATTTGTGACTATATTTAAATTGGCTTTATGGTATGTCTGTGATGTAAGAAGAAGCTAATAAATTAGATATAGATTTCACACAAAAGAACACTTAAAACTACTGCCACTTATACTGATTCCCTTCTAAAAAGGTTAAATCCACTGTGTTACCTATGATTTATTTCCTTCATTGAGCTACTACTGCAGCTCTAGTGTCTCAGTGATGCAGCATATCAATCCTGAGACAACTGTATGGCTTGGACAAGCTACATAACAACAAACACATCTTAGAAATAAAGAAAAAAAATACATTTGAACTGTTCAATGGGGAGGTTTTAAGACTGTTTTAATTAAAAAAATTAATAATCATTCCTTCTCTAGTAAAGCATGAAATTACTCATTTAACGAATCCTGTTTGTAATTAACAAAAAGAGATTTTACCAACTCAAATTATTCCCAACATAAAATATTTTGTCATTTTATTATTTTTTTTACAGAATTTAAAGATGCAAAGTTTTTTGGGGGGAAAAAAGCATTAGTTACCATGCAGTGCTATATATACTAATGGAGTGTTTATGAAATGAGAGATTTCAGTGAGTTTTAGGAGTTCAATGCATAAACATAACATATAAGCATGTTGTGTTAGTTGGAATTAGAGGGCATGCATGTGAGGAACGACACCAGGCTAAAACTTCCTGCTGTTTCTGTTTATCGAAAATCTTTTATTTTTTTTCTATAATGATATAATAATAATTGCATTACCTCCAGGACAGAAATCCCATATTGAGTTACATCTGTGACTGCATCAAATATTGTTGGCTGCGGGCAAGGAATTTCCTACAGCTATTCCAAATGAACCCAGGATCAAATATTTCTATATTCCTCCTTATATGATTATTGCACCAGTAATCAAAGTTTTGAATACATTTTAAATATCAATTGTGAAATCTCAGTTTTCTGTGTCATATCTGCCATCGTGCAGCTTTCACTGAATCAAACAAGCCTGATAAACAAGGGAGATTCCAAAGGCAGGCCCAACAGAGGGAGCAAATCTTATCATTCATTCTTTAACGATGGTAGATCTTACAGTCATAACCCAAAAAATGGGATTCATATATATTACTTTAAGGCTTGCTACTAAATTCAGCAGAAAAACATCTGAAACTTATGGAAACCACCAAATAAGAGGCCTTCTACCAGTGTCTCCATCTACAGTTTTACACCAGAATGACGCCCGATTACAAAAACCCAACAACTCTGTTCTTATATTTAAGCACCTTTACAGCTCCAGTGACGTTTGAAGCTAATCACTTCAGAAGGAAAACGTTCCGTGGTAAAATGTTTAACAGTAACAATAAGATGAGTGGTATGTGAGACTTAATCTAGCGTCAAACATAGTGATGGTGGTGTTAGGTTGCGGGACAGCTTTCCAGCAACGCATTGAAGAGGAAGTTTCCATCAGTAAGATATAAAATCTTCAGTATAGCTTCAAACTTTCACATAATTAGTGAAACCGGGAAAAAGCTACACATTCCAACAGAAAAACAATTAAAAATAAACATGATTTCTCAGGCAATACATTGTGGATGTACAATTCATTTGCTACCCAAAAATTTATTAATGAGCATATGCTGAGAAATATGATGATAAAAGGAGAAGCTAAACAGGTTTTTACTTGATTCTGTCTGACTGCCGAGTTTGTGCTTCTGATGGAGTCAAACTCAGAGAAATGTCAGAATTCGAGGCTCTGAGGAAGCGGCTCTTTCCCGCTCTTGCTGAGATCCCATTAAATCCCTGCTGGGCTTTTTTTTTTATCGTACACAACCGGCCTAAAATATTTTTCTATTGCAGAGATGACTGTAAAATACCATTCAATTCAACATGTATAATTTAAAGTTTGCTCGCTTGGATTAGTTTGCATTTCCTTAAGAGACACAAATCACTGTATTGTAATTAATGCCCAAAGTATTTAATTACCAGTACTTGTTTCTAAAGTGTTAAAATAAGCAAGGTACATTCCCACAGCACATGATATAAATATGTTTGCCCTGAGGCACTTGGTAGTGGCCGTGGTAAAAAAAAAGAATAAAATATTTTCCGTCAAAAGGAGTGACACGGTTTACCTCCTAAGCCAAACCAAAATCTGCATTCAAAATGTCAAGTTACAGACAATCATCATCATTTTAGTGTGTCTAGAGTTTTAGTGTCAAGTACAGTAACAGTGGTGAATATTAAAATGCTACAGAGGAGATGAGAAGCACAATATACAGCATCTGTTAGAAAAAACAAAAATTAGTCCAGCTTTTTTTATTCCTTATGTTTGTATGGAGGGAGCAGAGTGAAGGAAAAAAGGAGATAAACGAAAGACTAGAGCGGATAACCAAAATAACTAGAGTAGGAGACCCAAGGGAGCCGAGCAGGAAGCTGGAAAAATAAATCCTACTGCGGATAGTTGTTCTGTTGCCGGCGCTTTGCCGACCTCATTTTCTCAAATCGTGACTCCATCTCCTCGAGGACTTTGGGGGTGTACCTTACAACCAGCTTCACTGTGCCCTGAGCTGCTTTGAGGAGTTCCACAGCTTTCTCGTGGTGCTCACCCTCCACGCTCTGAAGACACAGAAAACACAGATATATCACAACCTACAAATCTCTGTTCCAAAAATGTGGTTTAAAAAGAAATACAATAAACAACTCAGCTTCTTCTACCATTTCTGTAATATAATTTGATTTATTTTGCACAGATTTGTTAGATACTGATATATTTGAAGTGCTAAATTTGATGATTGAGACTCATGTCTAATAAATATCTTATATTATGTTTCTGAAACATTTGGAGTATCAGATAAGCCCTATGGAAATGATGTTTTTAATAAATAGTCATTATATTACATCAAGGGGAGGATGGCACTCTGATAAAGGTGGTTAGTAAACAAACAGAACCTGTCTGTTTCAGAACTCCATTTTGAAGTGTTAACAACAGCTGAGAGGAAAGAAAAGATGAAAATTGTTCACAAGCAACTCAGACTGTGAAGCAGAAATGTAAGAGTTGAAGGGTTGGGTGAGATTCAAAAGGAAATGTTTAGGATAGGGGCTTTAACTATGGCAATCCTGGTATGAATTTTTAAGAAAAAAAAATGTCAGAAAAGTCTCACCTGGGCTAAGAGATAGCAATGGACTGTTATTGAGTGTAGCTGAAGGTACAGCGGGAAGTTTCTAGAGACAGCAAAAAATTCAGGGTGCCAAATCTTCTCCTGAGGTTAGTCTTATGTCAGAATCACACCAGGAAGCATTCAGACCCCTTTATGCTTCGCCCTGCAGGCGGGCTTTATGAAGAAGCTAATAGAATATTCCAGCAGGTGTTGGTACCTCCCTAAACAGCTAAAGATGCCAAAATGCCAAATATGTTAGCCGAACCATGTTACACTGCGATGATACACACATTCATATAAGGCTGAAACAATTTATCGGGTTAATCATGATTACTTGATTATTTAAAAAATCGTCAATTAATTAAGTCATCAATTAATCGCTAACTGGACAATGGAGACTGTAAAATATGCCACAAAAACCGGACATCAAAATTGTAAATAAATGTAAAAACATTTTGCATTTAAGTTAAAAAAAAAATTTTCGTATGTCAATATGCTCTATCCAGAACTCCTAAAGTTTGAGTTTCACTGGTTTAATTTAGTAAACAGTCTTCTTTAAGGAAGCTTTGGCTGTCTCATTAATAATAGCTTAATTGAAAAAATAATAAACAAATTTATCGATTTGCAAAATAATAATCGTTAGTTGGAGCCCAACATTCATACAAAATTAAAAGCAGATTAAAAGAGTACATATAGTGTACATTACATGGAAATACTTTTTAAAAATCATTCTTTATCAGTATCAAGTAAACCTAAATGTTAGTTTCATAAAAAATAAATTACCAAGCTTAACAGGAAGTAAAGACTTCAAATATATAACTGTGTGTAACCAATCCTTAAAGGAGTGTCACTTATTACATTAAACTTGTGAAATCAACTACTACCTTTTAACAGGCTCTGTCAGATCTTTTTATTCTGAAGGGAAAATTAACTTTTGATTTGTAGGTGTACACCTTGTCCGATTGTTTCTGATGTGTCAGATGGAGAAACACTGATGATTTAAACTTGATTGTTTCTGCAGCGGGTACCGATCACAGAGGTCTAAATCCTACTGCATGAACATTCTATGGAAGCATCACTTCTAAACTTGCATGCAGCTGTACTTTGAGAAACATCAACTGTCACTAAATGTATCTTCAGGCTAAAGCTTCTAATTTCCATTGCTAATTTATTGAACGTACCACCCCGTTAACAGAGAGAAGTTGGTCCCCTCTTTTAAGGCCTCCATGTCGGTCAGCGATGCCTCCTGGGATGATCCGTGAGATGTAAATCGGGGAGTTTTGTTCCTTTCCACCCATTATATTAAATCCTAAACCTTCTTCCGTCTTGGGCAGTTCAACCACACGTGGATGTGAGTGTCCCTCACTTGCTGCGAAAGCTGCCACTGTTGCCTAAAAAACAAAAAAAAAGTTTACCATTTGAAAATATGCTGCCCTCCACTGCAATAGGAATTTAAGACTGTTCTGTATGAGCAAGTAGCTCAAGCTTTACCTTAGCTGTGGCGTTGGCTCGCACCTCAGGACTGCTGTTAATGTCCACAGTTTCATACACATGTTCATAAACCTATAAGAAGTATTAGACTATAAACCAATGCAGGATACAAAATAGCCTACATAGTCTGTTACTGAAAGCCCCTTACTTCTCTGACAGCGTTGCAGAATTCACTCTGCAGGACCCTCTGCAGCGCCTGCAGCTTCTGAGGGGGAACTTCTCCCGTCCTCTGTAGCTTATCCAGCAGCTCAATCGCACGGTTGATATCTGTCAACCAGAACATAAACAGCTCCGTCACTGTTTATTATTCACAAACAAAGCAAGGTTCATGATTTTGTCGGTGAAAATTAGATGCTGCAAAACGCAATAACTGACGCTGGATTATATTACATAAAATTGGGTAGTGACCAGCCCTAACAAGGAAAATAGATGATGCCACCCATCACTATTGCTAGGGTAAAGGTGTTTGAAAACTACAACTGACAAGCTTTTAGTTAGCCCACAGCCGGTTAGTCACACAAACTAACCAGTTGATGGCTGTCATGCTTCTGTTACTATGCTAAGATTTAAAAATAAAAAAAAGTGAAACCTGTTATATTGTTTGAGCAGCAGCAAAAATATACATTGCCTTCCAGTTTTAAATCAAAGCATTGAGTCAATTCATACATCTGTGTTAATAATAGGGCTGCATATTATTAGAAAATCGAACAAACAAGTTTTTTTTAATGGAGGATGAAGATATAGATTTGATTACCCTCCATGTTTCTCACAATTTTTTCTTGATTTTCCTGGTTCATATTTCTTGATCGCTTTATGCAAGCTTAAGCAAGCTGTTAACTGAAATCAATACTGTGCATCAATAACAGTAAAAGTCCACCAAAGTAATAAAATTTTATGTAAATGCAGATCATGTCCCCCCTTCTTTCTTTAATCTATTTGATATATAATAAAGCTACCAAATCCAGCCTTAACATAGCAAGGCCTTAACATAGCAAGACTGTGACTTGTGGATCTTGTCACACTATTGTGATGCATGACAACCTCAAAGCAGCTCATAAAATGTGTTGAAATATTTAGGTACAACAACTTATTGGTGGGTTTGTTTCATTATTTCCTAAAACATTCGCAGTATTTAATGTTTTCCCTCAAAACAAGGCAAAAAATCAGGGCAGTCTTCTGCTTTCACCAGGTGAAATGATTGTAAAGGTATCTTTAAAGTTGCTGTAAAAACAAGAAAATTCATCATTTTAAACCAGTCAACATCACTGCTCTAACTGCCTGTTTTTTTTTCTTTTTCAAATACTTGATTTAATCTTGTTGATGCTTTATAGAGCACCATCAGCTCAACAGGGTTCAGAACTTAACGAAGAGGGCCACTTTGTTGTCAATTAATTGCAATTATTCAAACAAGCTCTGAAAGCAATTCCCTCTAAACGCCATTTAAAAAGGCTGAAAAACAGCCTTACTGGTAAACATAAACCGTTTATTGTACAGAGTTAATTTTAATCAGTTTCCCTTGTTACAAAAAGAAAAGAAATGCCACTTTAAATGCGTAATTATTCTGAAATGGATACGAATTTTAGATCAGTAAGACTCCATCTCTATATATTTACACCTGACCAGCTGGGTTGGTCGGTCACTGTTAGCTAGTTACCGAGTGAGAAATCCACAATAAAGCCTAAGTATAACCCTTAGCCAAAGGAAATCGACCTGAATACATTATGAGACATATTTAACGCAATTCAACCAAATAACACAACACTATCGAAAAGCCAGTTCCAGTTTTATCCAAATAACTGTAAGCTAAGCTAGGTGGGTTTGTTTCTGAACTGAAGCTAGCTAGCTAATTATTGTTACCTCTTTCCAGTCGCACAGGCTCCCCGAGAGATGCCATCATCCAAAACAGACTTTAAATTGTCTTATAAAGATGTTACGTCTTAAGGAATATAAAGAAATGTATAGTTAGCAATCCCGGTGAACGTTTCGTGTGCTTAACTTAGACGATAAATCAGATTAGCTAAGTTAGCACGGCTAGGCTAGGTGCCAGTGAAGCGATGCGTTCAGGTTAGCCTCGGACAGCAGGGAACACAGTAAAGAAAATTTGTTATTTTTTTTTTCTCTGTGTAATGCAAATTATCTTTTATAATACTCTCTTATATTTTCTGTAAAGAATTGTGTTTAGTAGTTGATTGACTTCTTATCATCTTATAATTTTGCGCTCGGTTTCAAACTTTTTAAACCAAGCGGGATGCACTTGAATTAATTTTTGATATTTTAATATTCTGCACTTCGTTTTCCCCCTATCATTCATATCATGTAGTTTTTTGTTCTTATTTTTCGACTTTAGGACTAATTTAACTCTAGGCTTCATCTGGCTTGAGCAAAGTTGTTAAAATTATGATAATTTTTGTTATTACAACAGAGCCCTCATAAGGAAAGCTTAGCTGTCACAGTGGTTACTTTACTGCCCCCCTGTGGCTAATTGTAGCATTGTTTGTTTTTTCTTGTCCATCAAAAGGGCTGCTGCTGTTTCACTGCTCTCTAGGATGCAACTTTGGAGAACCTCTGATTCTAATCACAGCAAAGCGATTGATAAAAATAAAAACAAACATTTTGCTTTGAACTAATGACTAAATTGTTGAAATAATGGTGATTTGGGAAATATATGAAGTCCCAACAGAACTAAAAAAAATCTTAGCAGCAGCTGTAATTTGGATAGTACATCTTGGAGACTATTTTATTTTCTTCAGCTAAAGTCCAGCTTGAAAAAACACCACACCACAATGTAAACGTGCTTAATGCTACTGCCAGCGAACACGGCAGTAAGTATTTCCATGTAATTCCTTAATCGGATGACTGGTTCCAGTAAGAAGTGTATAATTAGAAACTGAATGCTTTTTTTTGTTTTGTTTTATTCACTTGCAAACTGTTGAAACAAAAACAGCCTGGGGTTCATACTCCTGAGAACTGACGCACCTACCTTATCGCGTAAGAATCTCAATGATGGATTATTTCTTCCTTTTGTTCCCCCGCTGAAGATGTGTTTGTACTTGTATTTGACAAAATGTAACACAGCTCCATCTTAAGGTGGAATTTCTTGACAGCAGATGGCTTCTTTTCCTGCATCACTATGGCTTTGTGACCATGGTGAGAAACCCATCATTTCATGGTGCAAACTTTATTTTATCTGGTGTCACCAAAGAAGTTGGTAGAGTTGGTAATGTTGATTGATGCTTTTTGTTTAGTGTTAACCTATTCAGCAGCAACACCCACCTTTCAATTGGAGAGAAGATACTAAGTGTTTGGAATCTGAAGAGGATGCTGTTGATGAAACATGTTTCAAAATTTCTCACGCGAGGAAAAAACAAACACAAAAAAAGTGTGCTTCTGCTCTAGCACAATCTTAAACCATGACGTTTAGACTTGGCATGTAATGCTGTGATGTGTTTCTGCTGGAGGGGATGTTGCAGCAGTCTCCCAGATGTCGAGAATGGCTTTTCCTTCAGTTCATAATGAATATAGAGCTGGATAAGATCTGTGACAGCTGTTCTTTTGAAGAGAATTCAAAGATGGGATTACTGTACACTCACAACAAAATCTTGGGTGTATATCTAAAATGTACACAAATGTATGGGTGGCTGAATCCATCACTGTCGACCTCAGGCATGCCCGATGTGTACTCAAAGCCTACTTGTGCTAGTCTGCACTTGAAGGTGTAGGCAAATTTCTTCTGCTTTTAAAACCTTACTTGTAAAGTGGCCTACTTATAAGTGAAGTGATCAATAGGTTAAAAAAACACTAAAAGAATAATCATAAAGTTCACTTTACATGTGCTGCATTACTGTACTGTAAGGGAGCCTTCACTTAGTTATCTAATTTTCTTTATTATTTTTCATCGTTCTTTGTCTTAGACAGACCCCCATTTCATGTAGCTTCACAGGTATTCATACCATGTGAAATTGTTGATGATGACCTGAAACTTTTTGATGTAAAAGAAAAAAAAAATGCTGTCTTTCGTCATGTGTCCCCTCCTCAGCTCCTTGTTTGTTAGTAAAGTTAACCTGCCTAAAGATGCACTGTTGAAACTGTAGCGACATTGATTGTGTTTTTTCAGTTGCCTATAGTCATTTTTATTTCTTCAAATATTTCAGTTTAATATTGCAAACAACTTCACAACATACAAAATGAATAATATTAACCCAGAAACATGTCAATGAATAGATTTCTCTTTATATATATATATATATATATATATATATATATCTCTTTTTAAATATATCTTTTCCTCTCGTGGGGATAAAAAAATAAACAGCAAAGCTTTGACAACAGCACCTTGACATAGTATGTAATTCCAACATTACCTTAAGAAGTTTCGAACAGTAAACAGATAATTTAACTTGAGAGGAAGTCTTTTTCTGCTGAGTATGTGAACTGAATGACTTTTTTATGTCAGCATCATATCCTTTTTTTTTATGTTTTTTTCTTCTCTGAAAGTGGAGAATTTATTAATTCACAATTGAAAGCAGCATGCAAGCTTTTGTAGATGGAACTGTCCTCTCATTCTTTGCCTGCAGTTTGTTTTATTTTTTTGTTTGTTTTTTTTTCCTTCATTTTTCTAATTATTGGCAACGTAAACAGATCACAATGTCTCGATTAATGTGATATAGTAATTTAAACTGGGCGCAAATGACTGATCAGATTTTTTTTAATTGTTTACAAGGTCATGAATATGTTCAATAAATAGACTGTAGTATCACTTTACTGTATAAACTTCATCTTTTTTTACATGCAGTCCATAAAATTTTCATTTGACGGAATAATTTACCCTGTTATGTATATACAAATAGATATTTTCTCTTTATTCTCTTTTTTAAACTCTTCAATAAAATCTATACATTTTATGCACTATCTCCCTCTTTTAATGGTCAATGTGCATACACATGAAGTGTCTATCCTTATAAACCGCCAGCCAATCTTCTTTTTGCTATCCATGGTCAGCGCTCGCACGTAGGACTGGGTTGTCCTGCATTGGGAGTTATAATGCCGCTTGTCTATTCCTCTGCAGCCGTCCTTTGTGTACCCCATGGGGTTGCATTTGGTCTCATAAAAGTATTGCTTCAGTTGGCCATTGGGGACAGGGACCTTCTCCATGACGGTTACTGTCTGCCCAGACATGTCTATCGCCGTCTTTTTATCCACAGCTGTCACCCACTGGCTAATACTGTCACACACACTAAGCTCTCCACGCCGAGAGGGATCAGAGTGGCGCCGCACCCTCATGGACATGTTTGCAGCATCCAGATAGTTTTTGTATTCCTCCAGGAGAAAGAGCAACGGCGGCTCCAAAGGCACTTGGTTGCTGATCATCACCCGCGAGTTGTAGAGGTCGACATCCTTGGCCTCGGCGGCGGCCAAGGGTGACGGACCCCCGCCTCCCTGGCTCTTGTCGCCCCCCTGTCCCAGCTGCGCCGCCTCGCCCTCCACCTCCAGCAGCTCCTCTATCACCTGCTCAAACGTGTCTGTGAGCGACGGGAGCTCCTCCCGCTGGCCTAGCCCGCCACTCTGTGGAGTCCCGTGACCTCGGGGGGCCGTTGCAGCAGCGCCCAGGTAGCCTTCCGTCCGATGGCCCCGCATGCCCGGGGCGTCTCTCAGGGGCGCAGCTCTCAAGCAACTGAAGTATGAAATAACCATAGTAAGGAACAGGATGGTCATCACTCTTCTAACCTGGTGGAACTGGAGGGAAAACAGAAAGAGGAAAGAGAACAAAACAGTCAATCAAAGAGTATTTCAAGTTACCCCCTTCTTAATCAGTAATGCATCACTTTAGCCTTTTTTAAGACCAACATCTCTTTGTTTGCATGCCAAAAACAGACAGCTTTTGAATAACCACAACATGTTTTATCAAACTGACAATGGCACCGTGTCATCAGTGCTTTCAAACAGTTTGCAAACTGTAAATCTATGTGAGGTCTGGCTTAGATTTCAATTTGTTGGCAGCAGAAGCACCAAAGCTGTGCTGAGCATCAGAGAGACGACAGCAAGAGAGAGAGAGAGACTGCTTATTACTAAAGATAAGAGTGCACAAATAGATACTTGAAACATCCTAACAGGGTTGCTATTATTCATGAAGGCTTGTGTTGCAGAGTATGGCAAGGAGTGTGCAGGCATGTGTGGTTTTATAATGGCTCCAGCTATCATTCACCCATCTCTGCATCAGTAACGGTCTCGCTTTAAAAGCTCACACCATGTCTAGTTTTTTTTTTTTAGAACACTTTGATTGTTTAAAGGTCCAAAAAACAAGAATTGTACCAGCATAAACGCCTCAGAAGGCTCTTGCTTGTCCAGCATCTACTAATAGAATAAGCTGAACTGCAAACATTGTGTTTATGTCAGCTTTGGCAAACATCGCCACTGCACTTCTAAACTATTTGTGCTACAAACTGGTCTGCACGGCAGGACCAGTCTGACACCAAACCCTGTGGCCATGAAAGAGGGACCTGGGCTCTTCTATTTTAAAGAGACGGGATCCATCAAATATAAACTCCCATACACTAGGGATCGCCAGCTCTCAAGGGACTGTGTTCTACAACCTTTAGACAGGTCCACCAGAATCGTAATCAGCCCTCTGAAAAACCCCAACCGCATACTAAAGCATCAGGAAATCATCTAAAAACTGCAGAACAACCTCTCCCTGGAATCACAAGGTGAGCTGCATGCCAGCAGGTGGAGCCAGATGAGGAGAGGAAACGCTGAACATACATCCTCGATTAGTGAACCACCAGCGCACAATCACGTCCCTTACCTTTAAGAAGCTCTAAGGCTCACAGATAATCAATACGATGTAGAACATCCAAGCACCAGAGACATTAAAGCAACCAGAAAGATTTAGGCACACTGATTCTTTGACAGCTCTCCACATGTCCCAGACTTGCCAGCCAAAACGAGGCAAGTGAACAAAAAGTCCCTGATTTTACTAAAGATAGACAAAAGGACCTCTCTGGTAAGAAGAAGAGCAAGAAAAAAAAAACATCCCCACCTTAAAGCATTTGTTTCTTTCTTAATTGGTGTCTGGGGCTGTGCCTGCAATTAACAGACACCACGGTGAGTGCCATAGAGATATCGCTGCTAAAAATAGATGTGCTGGGAGTCTCACAGTCTCTATTCAGAATATCACATCCTTCTTCTTAATGAGCCACTCATTCCCCAAGCTCAGTGACGTGGTCTACCAGAGTGTATGAGTGTGTGTGTTAGAGGGAGGGCATGGGGAGGGGCTGGCTTCTCTTTGTGTGTGTGTTTGTGTGTATATGTTTGAGAGAGTGTAAGGATGGGGGTATTTTTCCTCTTAGCGACTAAAACAACAATGAGGCTAAAGGCCATGGACGAAGAGTCCATGATTAAATTATCACTGAGGATTGCTAATAAGTCCAACTCATCATTTAAAGTGATATTCTGGTTCAAATGTCGAGGATTTCCAGTGAAGATTTCCCAGCACAGAGGACCATGTAGGTTTACGGGATCGAGGCCAGCTTTATGTGTATAGGATGCATTTAGGCTGATATTATTATCAGCATCGTGCTCAAGTGGTTCCACTTCCACATGAGGGGAAATGATGGCAGAAAGCAAGAGCTGATTACTGTCAGGCGTCAAACTTCATGCTGGAAATGGTGCAGACGAGGAGTGCTGCATCTTCCGTAAGAGACCACAGGGGTAATGTTGCAGTAGCAGGGGCGGGTGGGGTATGGTAGGGTAGGGTGGTGGAGAAAGTGCCAGCGTCATTTCGCAGCATAACAACCACGGATGACGTCTCTTCCAGGTCTCCATAGGGGAGAGAATGGAAGGGAGGAGGTTGCTGGGGGTAATGCCACTCAACGGTGCGCAATTGCCTGCCTTTCCCCTGGGTATCCTCACACCGGGAACCACAGATGATTTTATTTCTATCTCTGTGATTTCCTGTTTCCATCAGGACAATCAATATGGCTTATGCTCCCAATCAACATCCTGTTAAAGCACAATAAAGGCAATGAATCATTTAATTGCTGTGGGACCGACGATGAATTTGTGCCTTGTATCTGCATAAAGATGCTAAATGTGACAAATACAATAATTCGGTGTTAACACAATAAGGGTGAGTAATACAGCTAGATAGGAATTAAAACTAGGCCTTTAGTCAGCAGCTACCTGCGTAAAGTGCAAACCTCCAACCCAGATTGATTTAAACACCAATTTAAAATGGAAATCTATGTATTCACAGAGAGAATTCAAGCTTTATCTAAAGGCTTTGGCCATCTAAAAGTACATAAGAGTACCAAGCTAATAACCTAGAGTGAAGGCCTACAATAATTGCTGCTCAAACATGCCTTTATCTATAACACCACACCCTGAACAATGGGGGCAGGTGAGTGTTTGGCTTTGACATCTCCAGATGACCACCTGTTCATCTGCTTAGAGAAAGAGCACGGCTGTATGGCGGGGATGTGTAACTTACCCTCACGTTCGTTCTCCGTGCCAGGTGGGGATTAAAGTGATAAATACCTCTTTGACAGTCGCTGAAAAGTTTCTCCAAAGCATGAAAGGACTAGTAAAGGCCAGTATTATTGCACATTCAGTAGCGTTCCCTCATGTCAACCCTCTTTATGGCTTCATCTCTGCTTACTGCATGCATGATACCTTAAAAGCCATTACAAAGAAATATAAACACCAGCAGAGGAGATGAAAGGGTGAAGTGTGCCCTGCGTGTTTGAATAGAAATGTGCGCAACCTCTGCTCTTGTCCTCCCACTGCAGCTCCCTTGTGAGCATCTGTCTTTTTAAAATTTATCCAGTACCATAGCGTCCAAAAAAACTATCCAGAAGCATGTTTTGTCATGCTCAACATGCACAACCACAACAGCGCCAAATCCTCCAAGTTTTCCTGAGGAAAACTGCAAATAATATCACCCCAATAATCCCCCTTGTGTGCCACAATTCTGCACTTAAAAAGGCATTCAGACTTAATTGAGTTGTCTGCAGTAATGGCTGACACATGTAGAAGCTCGCTTTTTCCAGAGATCTGTTTTCCATCCGGTGCAAGCTGAAGAGCAAGTTTGGTAATAGATGGGCATAAGCATAGATCATATCTGCATCCCACCACAGAAACAGATAGGAATCCAAATCCACACGGAGTGATTTATGCCAATATTAGTCGCCCTCTCCATCCCATTCTTTTTATCCCCCTTTTGTTTTGTTTTTTTAAAGCTGACTCTCACACAAGCAATCGATCCAGTTTATGTGTTAATGCACATAGCTTCCTGTGAAGGCCTTATGATTAAAAATAAAATCTATAATTCATTTTAACCCCTGAACAGTGAAACCCAACCACTGCACCAGGACCAAAAGCATTCAGCTCAGAATCAAGACAGCTGCAATTTCACCTTTTGTAACACTAGATGGCGTGTGAGACCATGAAATAAAAGCCTCAGCTTTGAGCCTCACGTCTACAGATAGATAGATAGATAGATAGATAGATAGATAGATAGATAGATAGATAGATAGATAGATAGATAGATAGATATTTTTTCAATCTCTTTTCTTTTTTTGCAGCTGCTGCAGTCTCCAGCTTCAATTTCTTTTTCCCATGAAGCTGTCACTAATGTGGTCTGTTGTTTTCCAACACTTTAAATGATTTCTTTGTTTTTCATCTCGTGAAGTTACTTAGTACCAGAACACCACGCTGAAGCCAACAGTTTAAGTTGGCCGCAACTGAGCGTTTTAGGTCTCCGGTGTCCTATAAAGTCTTAATGAGTCCATCAAAGTTTTTTTTTTCTCTCCTTCTTTTTTTTTCCGCCACAGAAAACAAGCTGAATAAAACTGTGGGAAATAATTTAGATCAGGTCATAGCGGAGGAATGAGCGGAAACAGACCAATACAGACTTTCTAGAGCTTTTTAAAGAGAGTCAAAACGCAGTAAAACGTAAAAACTTGGAGACTTTTACGCACAAAACAGTTTAGTTAAATGGTCGACTTTATTATTGGAATAAAACAGCATTTCTTTTTTTTTTTGGCATGAGATTACATCTCCTGAGCCTGCGCTCTCTGTTGGAAACCCAATCAACATAATAAGTGCGTTTTTTATTAATGAACGGCAGGATAAGGTTACGCATATCCCCTCTCGGGCCGCTTGGCTGTCTGTTCACAGGATAACCAGACTTGATCGAGCTACTTTCAGAGCCCCCCCACCCTCCCCATCCCATCTAAACATACTCTCTACCCCTTTATATCTCAAACACATTAAAAGTATTTCAAACTAATTTTGGCAAAGAAAACCCACAGCTTACCTTTTACTGCCCAGTCGTAAAACAGACCATTCAACAGGATAGTGATGTCATCTGGGATGTTTTGGACAACTCCCTCAGTAATTTACTAAAACGTTATTTTCCTTTCTGTAACTTTCCCGAAAGAAGCCAAAAAAAATAATAATAAGAAAAAAAAGGCGTTTGGATTTCTCTTCAGCTTTGGAGCAAATAGATTAAATTATTGATGGTGGAAACTGCGCTGTTGAGGTAATGCACTCCCATGGCTGCGCGTCTCGTCTGTGGCGATCGTCTGAAAGTGAAGTTGTCGCAGCAGAAACAGCGGCGGCAGCAGGAGGAGACCTCTGAAGCTGAAATGAGGAGCCTCTTTGAAACTACTGTAACTTTACTACACAATGACGCTGCAACATGTGACCTGCTGCTGGCTGACTGGTCGCCGCAGAGCTGCTGTCTAAACAGCCCACAGGCGAAGCTGTTAATGTGCTTTCAGCGCGCATTACGCGTTTTTGTTTGTCCGCAAACCGTGCAGGCTGCATCCACGCCATAATGTCTGGGTAGATTACAAAGCAACAGCGAAGCCTCTCCTCTTCCGTATTTTTCCCTTTTTTTTTCTTTCTTTTTTTTAAAACTCAGCCTACAGAGGAGGCATAGTTTTCTGGAGGTTCTGCGCGTAATAGTGGCTCTCCCCTGAAGTCGTTATACATTGTGTGCTACTTAAAGATGCCCTATTTAAGTACAATTAGATTTATGGCTAAAATAAGCATTTGTTGATGCCATCTGCACTAAGTAATGGTATTAAATAAACAACTTAAGTATTTTGTATTAGTTTTGGACATCTAAACCAACGTATGTTCTTCATTTTCTTATAAATCTCAGCAGTCTGAGCCGTTCTACCATTTCTACAATTTCGGTTTTGGAGAGATGTATCCTAAGGGATATTTTGCAGATGCTCTTTAGCACTCTGACCAGATTATTATCAAAATAAAACAGCTGCTACTGATACTTCCCAACATCTTAAACAAACTGTACCCCCATTCATTGACTGAGTTCATATAAAGATGTCAGATGTCAATGGAGGCCCAGTCTTTCAATTGGGGGATGAACAGTTGGAGATTTTGCCCCAAATATTAGATGAGCTGCAGCCTAATGGAGGGATAGCAGCTCGTTATCCCTCTGGCTTGGCCGCTGTCCATTGGAAAGATTTATTACTATGGGTTTGTTGTATAGCCATCATGATTCCTCTCTGCATGGAGCTCTTGTTTGGCATTTGGTAGTATGGGAGTGGATCCTCACACCTGCCTAATGAGTCACTCCTACCTCCAACACACCCGGGGACATGCCAGGATAGATATAGCCCTCCCTGAAGGCACACAGGAGGTGAGGGCAAACTCTGGATGACAAAGAGTTGCATCAGCAATCACTGAGCGACATGACTCCAAAGATTTTACAACAAAAAAAAGAGAGAAAGAGAAAAGACAGGAGAGCTCCAAAAGTATTTCATAGATAAATAACTTTGCATCAGATGGCCAAAAACAACAAGTCTCACTTTCATTTTTGCAATCACAGCAAAACTAGAGATTGTTGATCAATAGGAGGTTGAGGTTGATATTTATGAATGGAAATTGGACCATTATCCTCCTTTTTGAAGGAACCTATGATATGGAGAGAAGCATCTTTACCTTGGAATAAGGTATAGGACCTCCAGAGTCATAGGCGTTCATGGAATCAGAGCTTCAAACCCAAAGATGAAACTAGATTTGAAACAAATGCCTACCAAAGGAGCTGACATCTAGGCACGTCTGTACAACCTTTCTTGGCTCCTCTTGCCAACAGTGCTTAACAAGTAGAATTATGCCTTCTTGTGCATTGGGGGAGGGGATAGCCGTAATGACATTTTGTGAAATGTCATTTTCACTTGGGCGAGCAGGGGTGTTTTTGATCAAAGTGGAATTGCATTCCTGTTGAAGGAGAAGCCAAACGGGGAAGCATTTAGTAAGAGGCCTGGTGACGTCAAAGGAGTTGAGAAGACTTTGAGGGAGCCTTACAAACCCAGTCAGCTGGGTCCTTTAAATGGATGCTGGAGTCAGGAGCTAATGTCATCCCTCCTGTGATGACAATAACCTTTAATGTAATCATGAGGCAGACACAGCAGACTAGATTTCTAAGCCTCACCTATACAACTCACCACCACCACCACCAAATCAGAAACACATAGGCTAAACACACACACACCATAATGCATGGGGTGTATTATGGTGTGTGTGTATTCCATGAATGGAAACTCACCAGCTCTGCCATTCTAGTGCTGAAATATCTGTTATAAGCATATATTAGATTAGGTTGTTACTCAGACCTGTTAAAAACTAAGCCTAAAAACTAAATGCATCTTGCTTTTTATGTTAGATTTTTAGTTTGTTTTCATGGTTTTGACATAAAAGCCGAATAAACCTCGATACTTGAATGTTTTGCAGAAGTTGCTGCATGATCACCTGCTGAGACACACATGGCATCAGCCTCCTCTTTCCATCTCTCTCTCACACACACAGTATGGTGAATACTTGTTGTCCTGCAGTGTTCCGACCCGAGATATCTTAACTATATTCACAGTGTATTAATAACTAATCGTGTTTTTTTTTTTTGTCTCTGTGAATCCCACAATCACGCCACTGAATGACGATAATTGAAGATGCAAAACAAGGTGCAGGGCTTCGCCTCCCTGCCAGAACTTGTTTGAACAAGTCTGTTAATTGGACGGAGGTGATGATGATGATGAAGATGATGGTGCCATGACTAAAGCAGAAGCGGCAAGGACCGCGGCGCGGCGGCGGCGGCGCGGCGGCGCTGCCTACAATTCCATAACGATCAGGATGATTAATTTGAGCTCTAAATATATCGTGACGTCCGCTAAGCCATGAGCCTGGATTTCCGCCCCAAAATAATCAATATCCTATTTATTATTTGTATGAGACATCAGGCCGGATTAAAGGGGCTGGCATTTCATGAATGAAAACGTTGCGACAACGTAGGATGTCACGTTCCAGTTTTTTGTTTGTTTTTTTTTTACTTTATTAATGTGCGGATCATTTTAAAGCACAAATTATTCCCCCAAAATGATCTCAACGGAATAAAATAAAGGCCCACATTTGCATTTATTGTTTTTTGTTAAACAATAAATCAAGTATGAATATTTTAGCTTAAGGAAAGATTTTAAGATTTAATGTCGCGTTTTTATTTAGAGCGATTCAATTTGATTTCATATCTACATCGTCTAAAGAATTATTTCAGAATTTATTTTTTTATTTTTTGCAGTAAAACCTACCATCAGGTTTGTTATTGACGCCCACCCCAACTCTGCAGAGTTGAGAGTGCACAGAGAGAGAGAGAGAGAGAGGGAGGGAGATTCTCTGTAAAGATAACACACGCGGAGACGCACGCACACAGGCGCGCGCGCACGCTGGCGCACGCCCCTAAACAAGCGCATGTAGCCCCATTTATGGACTGATCCGCTGACGTACATTGCAGAAAAGTGCTATAAAAAAACCTTCATACATACAAAGTGTGTCGTGCCACCCCACAGACCCCTCCTTACCCGCCTCCGCTCATCCCTCCTCCTCCACCCAATACGCCCACGCCCACACCATAATCCCACGTCTTAGTTGAAACAGGGGAGGAAAAAAAATGAAATAAAAATACTGCTACATGGCCGGGAAATATGCTGAGGAAATATTAGATTTTAAAAAACTAATCCGAGAAATCCGATGCAATAATAACACAAATAAAACAAAAGGCCAAACATTTATTTAAAGTGCCACAGTTTTAGGATCCCCCCTTTTTTTATTGTAATCTGAAGCTTCCGACGCATCTTGATTAAAAGAGCGCCTTTATTAGTGTCGGACAGCCACATAAGTAATATGATCTATTTTTGGTTTCAGTGTCTAATGGGCGTCAGTGTGCAGAAACCGATCTGCGCGCCTTAATTGCATTGCTGGGTAAAAAAAAAAAAAAAAAAAAAAAAAAAAGAAAAAAAACCCAAAAGAAAATAAAAAATACGGAAAACGCCGTCGGAGAAATCCCATAATTTGAATGCAATTAGAAATTTACTGGATGCGCTCATATTTACATGAAGATGCATCCTGGAAGGATGAGCCTTGATTATAACGGGACTAACGTTGGGCGTTATAGGAGAAGATGATGTGTGTGGAGGGGGGGAGCTTTCGCCTCCTCTTATTGTTTTTTTCCATGCACTTGCTTAAATCTTAAATCTTTTGACTAAATGAAAAAAAATGTGACTGAGAAAGAGAGGGAGAGAGACAGAGGGAGGGATGTGAAGAGTGGTAGTGGGGGAGAGGGAGGGAGGGGGGGAAATAGGCAATATCCACAGCTTCTGTGCAAGACCATTTTTTTAAAGGCTGCAAGTCGTCTGATAGAGAGAGAGAGAAATAACAATCCAGAAACGTTTTTTTTTCTTTTAATGTGCATCTGAATTTTGAATAGTCTCGTGTTACTTTTTGAGGAAATAGACGGGAAAGAAAACATCCGCTTCCTGAACAACACCAGATCAAGCCCTCTTATCTCTCGGCATCACATTCAGCCACAACATCTGTCAGCAGATCCTCTCTAACCACGCCCATCGCTATTGTAATTTTCACACTGGAAAAAAAGCTATAATAATAATAATAATAATAACATGTCAATTTGTAAATATATAATAAAAAACGAAACCTCTAAAATAAATCTCTTGAAAGGCGAATGAGAAGAATTGAATCCTTTATTACTCAACCCCTTATCCTTTTTTTTCTTTCCTCCACATCCTCTCTTCTTTCCAGCTTCTCTTATTTCTATTTTTCTTTCTCAAATATTACTCTCTGGCGCAACTGACGTTTGACAGGAGCGGTGCACGGACAAAAGAGAGGGGGGTAGGGTAGCAGGTGAAGTGAAAAGCACCTTATGAATGAAACCGTGGAGCGGTCGTAGTAAAAACACAAGTGATTTGATGGCGATGACGGGAGGAGGGGGGCTATGGAGGGAAAGGAAGGGGGGGGGGGGGTAAAGAGTAGGGCTATTTTTGGTTGATAACAAAATCCGAAGGGTTTGGTATGAAGGCAAAAACATGAATGCAGCAGAATAATAAGCACAACATAGATGCTAGAACGATATGCACCTGCATCTTGACTCCACTTCGTGCTGAAAGGATCACTGCAGCGTCTTAAGTCCCATATTGGGAGCATGATTAAGCACAACGCAACGATTACGCAAATAATGTTGCAGCAGGCAGTGTTCGGGAACTCCAGAAACGCTTCGAAAACCTCCCTTTCTGCACGAAATCCAACCCCCGTTTAAACACATACACACCACCACCTCTTTTTTTTCTTTATCTTGCTCTATCTGCACCCTGCCCGCACCGATCCATTAAAAAAAAAAATCTATAAATAAATAAAAATGAAAAGAGATGATCTATTTATTTAGTCACCTGGATCGTGTCTTATTTTCGGAGTTGTTTTCCTCACTACATGTCCATAAATACTAACACCTCCAAGTCAAGGCGAGGCGAAAGGCTGCATACT